AGGTGACATAGTTTAAAATGTCTTCTGATTCTGTGGTGTTATCATGCCAACCAAAAACGATATTACGTTCGGTGAGAACTCTTTAACTGTACTGTAGCATGTATACACATGGATGGAAGGAGGTAATACAATCCAACACCAGCCATTCATTCTCCAGTGCACTAGCACACCAATCACGAGGCCTCTTTACTACCCCATTCCATGTCTCAGGTTGCTTTTGAACTAGATTTTGTAATGTAGCTATATTTCATCTGCATGAAAATCAAATTCAAATCATGAAATACATGCAGTACATATGTGTAAGTCTTTAATATGTTGTCGTCAATGTTTGTTCTGGGTACATTTTCCTGGGCTACAGAATACCCAGTGTACTGGGAAATAGCATGACATTTGACTTTTGTCTACCCTCAGTAAGTGATTTAGCACAAGTGCTAATCAGGTGGAGCATTCAAAGATTAGAAAGAGATGTTATCAATGAAACATAAGAAGGTTAAAAATCCCAACTGGGAGAAGAGAAATAAGTTTGCCTTTTACAATCATGACTGATAACACGAACTTGGATCTTGAACTTGAGCTGAACTAAACTGACCACTCGGCAACTCTGCCTCCACATTCTTCGACATTGCTTTTTTTCCTGAAAAAATCAGTTCAAAGTTACATGTAAATTGTGTTTCCTAGGTATGCCACAGGTTCAGATGTCACAGAACATTCCTTGCTCATTCACGAGTATTATTCTCGGGAGACTAGCAATCCAGTACATGTTACAGTGGACACCACCCTTAAAGGATCACGAATGGGAATTAGAGCTTATCAGAGGTGAGCGTCCTCTGTTGCTAGCTTAGTAGAGTTAGGTCATCAGCACTTGCAATAAGTAATTTCAGTGTTTGTGTATCAGGGAGGGTGTGGGGGTTGGGTGGCTTGTGTTTTCCTACATGTACAGTTGTTCATGAGGGTTGTACTTCCTTTGAATAACAAGCTACATGTATATGCAGACTATCACAGATCATCTCCAACAGGTACATATTTTTGTCATCAATTCTTGTTTTGTAAGGTTAATTGTCCCACAAGTGGCCTAGTATTAGCCTGTGAACACAGTGGCCCCTTATCACTCCCAGCCACCTGATATGCCAGTGTGGGATTCTGAAAAAACAATCTTCCAACGATCTGCAAATTTAGTTTGTGCACAGATAGGTTTTGGCAGCCTGTCAAACTTTATTTCCAATTTTACCTTCATTAGGTAATGTACATGTGAATGATACAATCATATGTATATATACATACAGGTACATACATGTATACTGTATGTATGCATTGGCTTGTAATCCAAGCACTAGCAAGTGTTCTTTTGCTCTGATGAAGCAAAAGGACCATTTATCATAATTTAAAATATGTTTTTTTGTTTTCATTGTTTAGCTGTAAAATGGGTGTTCCAGGGAAAACAGAAGGCACAATCTTTTCACCAATCCCATGTGAGGTTATACTCACTGGACCAGAGAGGGTTGGAGGTAGGAGGGCATTAAATAAACGAAAACCTCCATTTGGGGTGAAAATATGTTGGATATTTGTCCGCAGACATTATCTGTTCTGAGAAGCGAACAGTATTGTGAGAGCATATCTAGAGGAAATCTGAGAGCTTTGAGGAACAGATAATGGACAAATATCCAAGCTTATTTTTGCCTCAGATGGAGGCTATTATGTCTATTATCCTTTAAATATTTTTGCACCAGGCACAGTTTTGAAAATTGAGGAATATAACTCAGATATTCCCCGCTTTAGCTGGGGTATATTCGGTCATGTGATGCATTTAGACCAATTGCGTGCAGGCGAAAATATTTGATGGATTATAATTAATGATAATATCGTTAATTATAATCCATCAAATATTTTCCCTTCCAGTGCATGACATTTAACTGACCCATAACCTAAGCGTGGTTGATCTTTGAAGCAAGACTTGATTATCAACCACAAGTGAAACTTTTGAATGTTTCTCTTGCAAAACAAATAATTTAAAGTCGCGAATCGAACATTGATGCCATACAGAGTGATGAGAGTTGAACTGGAGAGCTATTTCCCCCTCTTACATTAGCTGTCTTAGGTTGTGGTCAAATGAGCTGTTGGAATTTTTGTGGAAGCGAAAACCTCAGACAATTTATAAAATTTGATCAATTCAAATTTATCATGTGTGTGTGCAAAATTCAGACTTAAGGGTTTTGAGAAACAGGAAATCAAGTTTTAATTCTAGCTAGTCTTCATTCTCTGATAGCCTTAAATTTAAACAATGCCTCTTGAACATCCATGGATGTGCAAGTTAACAAATTGACGTCAGTTTTTTATGCATCTGCCCTCTTATTGATGATAAATTGCATCATAACATTGTCAAAGTGGCTGTGGAGCCACAAGCCACAGGCGAGTGGTTCTGCAGTAAACTTTGACAATGTTATGATGAAATTTATCATCAACAAGAGGACAGACGCTTAAAAAACTGACGTCAATTTGTTTTTTACAACAGCAAGACCCAAAATGGTCAAATGCTGGGAATAAATGAGGGGAAAAGATGCTGAAAACTTGCCGTGAACAAAGATAAGTGAATTTATTCAAAATGACTCGAACATTGTCCATAGCTTTTCTCGCTTTTTGATTGGCTACTTAAAAAAGTCCATAAAATCTCATTGGTCAAAAAGTGGACAGTTTGACAGCTGAAAGTTAAACTTGAAAGCTTGCATAAATTAAAATTTTATCCATCTGTACTCTTATTGATGATAAAAATGAGCCAATCAGCATGCCAGAAATTAGACAGTTATTGTAAAAAGATGGTTGGATGATGGATGTCCATCCATTTGAGTGGCCAAAGGTTATGCTTGTATATGTAAACATGTATAATGTTATGTGATGTAAGTGTCGGTAGTATTATATTAACACCTGATTTCCTTTGATACGAAAAAAGTAATGTACACGTACATATCGTATGGCACTAGGAGGGTGGAGCCGGTGATAAAATTTAAATTTTGTTATTGTTTGTAGTAAACTGGCTGCAAAGAACAAAAAATACAGCTAAACAGAGCATTACACCACTATCAGATATGCAACATGTCAACAGGTTAGTGGACAATTTTAAACTTGACTTTAGACAGGTTATTAAGGTGATTCCTCAGAAAGAAAAGTTGGCAAACAATTTTTTTGAAAACTTTCCCTGAATGTTCCCTACTGAACACTGCTTAAAAAAAACAATGAAAAAGATAAGTCACTGGGCTAATAAAAGAGATATGATGGGCCAATCTTACCCCACTTACTTGTATGCGTAGTCACACGACTAATTCAAGGCGAAAATTGTGGGTTGTAGGGATGCACACTGCAATTTTGAGGAATCACAAAAAAGTAGATCAATTTGGGCACTGTGTTCTGCTTGGGCATTTGTTATCACAATTGGTATCCATGCCAACTTTGACTTTCATCAAGTACTGTAAGAGGGGCTGTTTCTCACTTGCAAGATAGGCAAGTAGAAATACAAAACGTACTGCCAAATCTGAATTTTTACAGCTGTTGATCTAAAGTTGGGCAAAACTAGCATTGGTCAAATATAAAGTACACATGTAATGTAACATGCAAATTGTAAATTATTGCGTATGAACAACTTACCAAAGTGCATGATTCCATAACTACCATTCAGGAAATTTCAGAGCTTTCATTGATTAAAGCGGTTTTTCTTTCAGTTGTTATGATCATGTGCATTTGATGCTGACTCATTATAATTTATTCATTGTAATTTTTTTCATTTACAGTGCAAGTGAAAGGCTGTTAGAAATGCTTGGTACTGTAGTAGCATATGTTGACGATGTTCTGGTGGGTAGCTTGAACAACATGTACAATAGCTTTTAAAGGCATTGTGTTTATTATAAAATAATAATAATAATAATAATAATTATGATAATAATAATGATAATAATAATAATAATAATAATAATAATAATAATAATAATATCGAAATTTGTAGAGTGCCATTTCCCAATGGTTCAATGGCGCTTTACAAGAAATTAAATCCATTTAAAAAAATTACCTAGTATGAAAAATTAAGGAAATAAAATGTAACATCTATTTTGGTTACAAGGGTTCTAGGTTTCGAATGCTAAAGTAAGCATATAAGGCCCTTTTCTCGCCTGTAAGCCAGTTTAATATCCCATGCAAAGAGCTAATAGCAGGTTGTAAGCCAGAGCATACCACCGGGATTTTGCAGTATTTGCACAATGCGGATAGCAAAATAATGCAGCAAACGGCTATGAAAACTATCTGAGATCGTAGGGTTTGTTTTTTAGAATTGTCCTGGCAAAATGAGGGGAAACTAGATGCGGGTTATCGTGTTGTGGTCAGTAAGTAATGCGAATTAATTTTTAGAACCTCTTTCTTTAGGCTGGAAAAGTACCAGGTAACAACAGTGTCGGCAGAGAGTTAATGGATCTTGTTACATCAGTCCCTCGTATGTCTCAAGAAGACTTTGAGTCTATTCTCAACAGCAACATGCAGGTATGTGGAACTTAATGCACATGGGACAACCACTTTCATCGTGGTGAACACCATCCGCAATCTGCGGTATGATTGGCTGCGCCACAGACTGTATAGTACACTATCAGCCAAAACTGATCACGTGACGTGATAGTGTTCATCGGCGGAGAGACACTATCAGCCCATAGTACCCGTCCGAGGAAAATACCCGGATGGATAGTACTCGTCTGTGGATGTTTCTTCTTGCAAACAAGCGGGCTTATAGAAAAAAAAATATAAGGACAATTTGTCTGTTTTCTTTTCTAAATTTTACCTTTGGCTATCACGCCTTTCATCTAAAAAAGCTGAAAATAATTCAATGTGATCTTTGAACGGGCACGCAGAAGAAAATTTAGAAAACTGGTGCTCTCAAAAATAGCACATTTGCCCTCGAAGCATCGCTCCTCGGGCCAATATTTGTTTTAAGAACATCAAAGTTTCGTGGGTAACTATCAGCCAATAGTTCCTGGACAGACACACTCCTCCTCCTACGACAGAAACACTGCTGTCTTATTAGTGTGCTGATGCTGGAGGCCGTATTAAAAAGCTGGCGTTTCTAGTTTCTCTGAAGTTTTGTAGAGCGATTTACAACATTAATGGTGTTTCGTGATAAGTAAATAAAGATGGTGAATTTTAAGCTCGGTAATGAAATGTGAAGGTGAATTAATCAACATGACACGAGCGTGGG